TTAATTTTCAACTCTTATTATTTCCGAAACAGTTGAAGATAGGTATAGGATATGATACATTAAATAAGTTCAGAATGTAACGTAGAAATAAGAAATGAAATTTAAAAAAATCCTGTACAGTTCACACCCGGTAGAAGTGAAACCTTCATCGAACTGCATGCATTACACACATACTAACATACACAGTGGCGTCCCCCCCCTCCAAAAGACTTGAGAAAGAACGCAAATAAATATAGTTTGAAAAAACTAAAATACACGCTGGGGTGCTTTGTTCCACATTTTTCATACATTGAGCACCCCACGCTTTTTTGACAATAATTCTAATATTTTTTGTTCATTAATATTTTCTGTTTCTATTAAAAATTATTTTTCACTTTTTAGTTCAATTTACTATAAAAGCGTGTTTTTTAGTTTTTTTAAAATACATTTATTTTTCACTTTTTAGTTCGATGTATTATAATAGCGTGTCAGCCCCAGAGATTTCCAGACTTTTCGAGACATTATCCAGACTTATTCAGAGCTTCCCAGAGTTTTCCAGATTCCATCCAGATTTATCCAGACTTGTACAGACTGATCCGGATTCTGGAAAATGATCCCCAGGTCTTTTGGGACCTTTTCCAGAATTTTTCCGACCCCTTCAAGAAATTTCCAGGCCTTTTCCAGACGTTTCCAGAGATTTCCAGACATTATCCAAACTTATCCAGAGTTTTCCAGACTTCATCCAGATTAATCCAGACTTTATCCAGATTTGTTCATACTGATCCGGATTCTGGAAAATGATCCCCAGGTCTTTTGGGACCTTTTCCAGAATTTTTCCGACCCCTTCAAGAAATTTCCAGGCCTTTTCCAGACGTTTCCAGAGATTTCCAGACATTATCCAGACTTATCCAGAGTTTTCCAGACTTCATCCAGATTAATCCAGACTTTATCCAGATTTGTTCAGACTGATCCGGATTCTGGAAAATGATCCCCAGGTCTTTTGGGACCTTTTTCAGAATTTTTCCAACCCTTTCCAGAAATTTCCAAGTCTTTTCCAGATGTTTCCAAACTTTTCCAGGCAATATCCAGACTTATCCAGAGTTTTACAGACTTAATCCAGATTTATCCAGACCTTATCCAGACTTGTACAGACTGATCCAGATTCTGGAAAATGATCCCCAGGTCTTTTGGGACCTTTGGCAGAATTTTTCTGACCCTTTCCAGAAATTTCCGGGCTCTTTCCAGACGTTTCCAGAGAATTCCAGACATTATCCAGACTTATCCAGAGCTTTCCAGAGTTTTCCAAACTTCATCCAGATTAATCCAGACTTTATTCAGACTTGTTCAGACTGATACGGATTCTGGTAAATGATCCTCAGGTCTTTTGGGACCTTTTTCAGAATTTTTCCAACCCTTTCCAGAAATTTCCAAGTCTTTTCCAGACGTTTCCAGACTTTTCCAGACAATATCCAGACTTATCCAGAGTTTTACAGACTTAATCCAGATTTATCCAGACCTTATCCAGACTTGTACAGACTGATCCGGATTCTGGAGAATGATCCCCAGGTCTTTTGGGACCTTTGGCAGAATTTTTCCGACCCTTTCCAGAAATTTCCAGGTTCTTTCCAGACGTTTCCAGAGATTTCCAGACTTTTCCAGACTTCATCCAGATTTATCCAGACATTTTCCAGACTTGTTCCAGCTCACTTGGCTTGTTCCAGGTTCTTGTTGTGTGTTAATATAAGCGTGTTAAAAAAGTGTCATGTCGCTTTTTCGTTTCATCGAGTCTCACATCACTCCCAACGATTCTAAAGAAGTTTTCACTTCAAAATTAATGTTTTGATTTAAAAAAATAAAGTTAGCGGTCACAACTTGTTTCTGGGTCACCCTGTATACATGATATTACCCTCAGAAAAACGGCAACTGAAATCAAAAATCGATGTGTCCCAGGTTTTCATGAGCAATCTCACCAATGTTTATTATTTTTCTAGGTTTTCTGGAAGTTCTTTATGTGATAAACGAATAAACATCATCTCTCCCACCCTCGTAACTACGCCACCTCACTTTTTTTTTGTGTAAACATTTCAAGTATCTATTTTGCTGTATTTGTATAGGTAAATTTTATTATCTTTGTAATATATTTTTGTGTTTCCGCACATTTCATTCTCCACATTCTTATTTGTTAAATAAAAAGCACAATGTAAATTATAAAACTATTATTATAACTGTATACTTTTTAATTTAGATTAAATATGATAGGTGTATTAGTTTTGCCTCCACAAAAGCCCATAGGATTTATTATTCACCTTCCATGCAATTTGATCACACCCTTCCGTTATCTCGGAAATATTTGCCGTAACGTCGTCTATCACGGTCCTACTTTGAACTCGGCGACAAAGAATGAATTTCGCGCGCTTGAATTTGTTGTTGGCCTCTTAAAAAGAGTATTAAATTCTCTATAAGCCCTGCAAAATTGGTTTTTGTAACTTGTGAAGTTTCCGGGATATTGAGCTTCAAAGTTGAAATTTGGTCGACATTTTGTCCAAAACGTCAAACTAGATTTTTTCGAAAAACCCAAACGATAGAGAGTTCAGTGAAGTAGCGTACTACTTACTACTACTACTACTACATCTACTCAAAGATAGTCAAAATTACTAGTTTTCAAAATTTGCTTACTTTTAATAAACACCGATATCTTGAAAACTAATCGTACAATTTAAGATTTTGCTATAAGACTGTAAAGGAAAAGTAACGAGCTATGCTATCGAACGCTATACAACACAAGGTAGGTTCTTATTTGAAAAAATACGTTAGGGTAGCTACCCCCTAAGGGGGGAGGCAGGGTGACTGAAAAACTGCTTCATTTTGGTTCCCACTCTAATCCTTCGATACGCATTTGAGGTCTACCTGATAGTATTTTTTGTCTCAGACCAGTGGCGGCTCGTCAGGGGAGGCAGTGCCTAATGCTACAAAATATATGTTTTGTAATTTTGAAAGATTTTTCACGTGTTGTTTTTTTGAAGGCTCAAAATAATCGTTTTTGGGCGTGGCACTTGGAAAATTTTTCTGCCTGTAACGGGCTTTATTAGCGCCCCTTTGCCAATTTTTATTTTTTTTTGGGCGGGCTGCCTCCTTTGGAATAAAAGTCACGGGCCGCCACTGTCTAAGAGATATTTCTGATTGCTTCTTTTCAAATTGTCACCCTGTATGTCCGACGTGGCCTGAATGGAAACATCACTGTCGGGCAGTTATGCCCGACGCGGCATGCAATGATAAAGTTCATATCGAACGTGTGTCATTCAAAATTTAATCTACGATGGTCCAAATAGATTTTTTTTTCCTTGAAATAGCAAAAACCCATATTAAAATTCAAAATTTAGCAGGTGCCCATAGTATTCGACGAAGGCGCTTGTGAATTTTTGGCAGCTTCAAAATTGGAGTCAATTTTTGTGCCACAAATTCAGTTTTATAGTGGAAAATTATTATTAATATTGGTGATTCTGAGTCCGGAAGTGTCCCTTCGGATATCGAGACAGCATCAATGAAAAGGTTCTTCTGTTAACTAACTTTCTTTTTGTATATTTTTTATTTTATAGTTTGGGTGTTATTATGAATTCTCATAATCGCACTAGTGCTATTATGAAGTACCTAATGACATTCAAATGACAATGCTAAATGTGTCATAATGACACCGATGTAGATAAAGGATCCCACACACTGGCGCGATGTGGCGGTGACGGTAGCGATATTTCTGCAGCGGTAAGCGGACAGATCGCTACCGCCACTGCCATATCGCGCCAATATCAGGCCAGTATGTGGGATCCAAGGTTTCTAAAGTTTATAGGTTTTCTGGTAATGGGTAACTTGATGACGCATCTGGGGGTGTCCTATGGAGATTTGCATTATGTTGAGGCACCCCAAATGACGTCATAAAGTTATCAGGCAACCTACCTCTGTCAAAAAACGTTGTATGGGATCCTAAAAGTAAAATAGGTATGTGTTCCGCGCGTCCGCGGTTGCCGCATCGCGTCTAGCGTAGCAGGCTTCCCTAGAGATATACAACGTTGCGCCGTCACTTTCAAAATTTAATTTTCGATTTTCTTTTTCTATTTATGATTTTATTTTTTTTAATTCATTTTCACCGACGCTTTTAGAATCCGATTTCGCGGGGGCCCTTCAGCTCTAATTTTGTTTATTGATTTAAATACTACACACCATATCTCTAATTTTAGTTGAAGATTTTCCTTATTATCATTTATTTAAAGAATCCTTATACAGTGTGTCCACTTAAGTTCGCAGCATATGGGAAACTTTTTTATTATCAATTTTACGAAAAAAAGTTATTCTTTATATAACTTTCTGCTTCTAAATAGTATTAAACTATTAAAACTTGAAATAATATGTACAGGGTGGTCAGAAAATGGAAAAATATACAGGGTTTTATGGTAATAGACAAAAAATGGCACGTCATTTTTTTTTTAAACCTTTGATTTTTTTTTTAGATTAAGCAAGTCATATTACAGTCAAATATACCTTTTGTTATCACAAATAAACGTGCCAAATTTGAAAAAAAAAAAATGGAAAAGGGATTTTTGAGGTGAAAAAACGATTTTTTCTAAAACTTTGACACCCTGTATCTCAGAAACTACGCATTTCCGGACACATGTTCATGGGATTTTTTTTTTAAATATTGTAAGGAATCACATCCTGAAGTTACGAACCGTACTTAGGAAACACCCTGTATTTTTCTCTATTTTCTGACCACCCTATACATGCTATTTCAAATTTTAATAGTTTAATATTATTTTTTCAAGAAGCAGAAACTTTTATAAAAAATAACTTTTTTTCGTAAAATTGATAATAAAAAAGTTTCCCATATGCTGCTAACTTAAGTGGACACACTATATGTACTTAAGGGTATAAGCACAGAATTTAATGAAATATGTATGTATGTACAATAATATTACTCATTACAGTTGATTTTCCTGTGAAACAAAGGTGAAAAATAAATTTATTAGGAGTCATTTTTAATTGTGGTTTATTTATTCCAATATAAATACAATCTACAGTAAATCATTACTGATTGAAACCTAGGAAAACACAATAAAAAAAAACAGACTTTTTAAAAATGAAATGATAAAACACTTTTTGTTTTAATTTTTTTTAAAGATTTATAAGAAACTACATATACAAAAATTGAGCTAGATCTTCTTCAGATTACTTATTTTAATATATTTACACATCTATTTCAAAATGTTGGTCATGAATGCAAAAAATATGAACGTTTCTCTTTTTATCTGTTTGAGGAAGTTTCCCGCAATCTTTACATCAAAGGCACTGTGAACCCAGGCTTTTATCTAGCAACTGAGGGCTGAGCGCTTTTAGAGAAATATTTCACAAGAACAACATATAAACAAAAAAAGTCACATATAATTATATACATTTTTTTCCATTTTTCCATTCAAGTTCTTTGACTTACCTTCATCATAACATAAAAATGTTGATTATTAGCTTATGAGAAAAAATGGTTTTAATTCAAAGTTCAAAAATTTGTGACATATATCTCAACCCCAGCTATAAGAACTTTTATATTTCTTGGGTAGTTTTTTATCACAAAGTGGCAGTGTAACACAAGAATGATTTTATTTAAATCTGCCTTCATTCATGAGTGCAAATGCATTCACGTAAATCGATCTAAATTCCTACACTTAGTTTACATTAATTTGTAAATTGTATCAAATTTAATTAACCTAATGTCAAATAAATTATTTTCCTAATTTATCAATAAGAAAATTACAACTATGAAAAATCAGAAAAGCTTACCACCTAAAAAAAAATCTTGATTACAATAAATATTAAAAAATTAAAGGAACAATAGAATACCTATAAAGACAATTAAATCAAATATAATCTGAATATTTAACAGAAAAATTCTAAATACACTGGTATAATAAATTATTATGAATTTATAATAAGTATCAATATACAATTAAATGTTGAATCAATTAAATATTTTGAGATCACTGATTCTATACCCTGAGACCAAAATTATTGCGATGACTCATAGCTCTTTCAAGTTCAAGTTTATTACTATAGTGGCCTAAGTCATTGACAATATTTTCAGTCTTGGGGTATAGGGTAATTTAACCCAAAGAAGGGAATATTTGTTCTTAGTTGATGAAATTCTTGTCTGTGCTTAATTACAAGAAAATATCCACAATTTTTATGTACAAACTTCCAGAATAAATTTTCTTATACAAATATCACTTTTGCAATTTTTTTACATTTATATAACAAGCAGCTTAAATAGTTGTACATCAGTTACAAGTGGCAGTGAGGTTGTATTTTTCATTAAATTCAAGTTACATTAGCCTAAAAGGATCAGGATTTATAGAAACACTATTGCTATATAAAACAAAATTGTTGTAGACTTCGCATAATTCTTGCATTTTATATTCTTCTAAGCATACAAAGCCTTCTAGGTTTGTTGCCTGCTTTCTTGCACAATCCATGCAGTGGACGACATGACGCTTTTCTTGCTCTCTGATGAAAAGTATATTAAATACTTCAATCTGAAAAAAAAACAATACAAATTTCAGCTCCTGTGACAATTATATTTTATGTCAACAAGTATCTTTTTGAGTAGAATGGAAATTGAAGGATGATAAAATGATATGCCGCCTAGAACAAAAACAATTTCAGCTAATCTCAACAATTCAGTTGGAAATAATATTTTTTTATCTTAGACTTAAAGCAGTATATAATTTAAACTTTCTTGTTGTCAAAATTTGACACAGAAGTGATCGACTATGGCATTGTGAAAGTGAAGTTACATTCTCGTAAACTTAGAGTTATGCATTTTGTTATCTCTGTTTTCAGAACTAGACCAGCCGTTGCTTTTCATGGGAACCGCTTTGTCAGCAAAGCTTATAATTATAAATATTCATTTTACTTAGGTTTAAGGCAGTTGTATTGTAACCACGCTTGAAAATAATTTTTTTTTAAAACTAAATCTCAAAATTCGAGTTGTTAACTGGCGCAGTCGGTAGGATATTGTTGACGGTTTCGCGCATCGTGCGACAAAGTTATCGGTTCGTTCCAACGATTTACACCAATATCGAACGAAATTTTCGAAAGTGGTGCAACACAGCTCATCCAGACCAGGGAAACCGGGAACAAAAATCGTCCCATTCCTATTGGTGCGAGCAAACGGAACAAAAATCGTTCAGACGCTCATAAGGTAGTTCCAGGGAGAAGACAAGCATCGCTTTTCCTATTGGGCTTAGGTTAAGAATGAAGAAAATCGCTGTAAGTGAATCCTTTCAGTTTCCATTTTTTATTTTTCCTGATTGTTTTATTGCTATACACTGTTTTTCGCAAGTTAGGAAAATCCTAATTTTACTTTTTATATATTTTTACTTTATTACTTAGTTATTCACCTATTTTTCTTAAAAAAAGAAAAAAAAAAAAACCAAAAACAAAATTTTTTTTGTTTGTCAATTTCTTAAATTAAAGTCTTTAAGAAAATAATTTAAAAATGGCAAATTATACTCTAGTTCGTTATCAAGCAGATAACATACCTAGTTTTGATGGTAATCCAAAACAAGTTAATAGATTTATAAATGCTTGTACTAATTTTTTAACAGCTCATAGCGATCCCAATAATGCTGGCGCAGCCATTAATATTGCTCTTTTCGATACAATTTTAAGCAAACTAGTTGGTAGAGTAGCAGATTCAATTGCTTCTAGAATAGAATTAAACTCATGGGATTTAGTAAAAAGTGCGATTATTGCAACTTTCTCCGATCAAAGATCAATTGATTGTGTTATACAGGACATCATTACAATGAAACCTGAAAAAAATGAAAATCCTCAACAATTTGGTATAAGTTTGCAAGACGCCCGTAGCTTATTATTTTCAAAAGTTAACGTTTCTAACGATACTCGTGCTATTAAATTATTAAAAATCGACGAGTATGGTAAATTAGTAATGAAAACTTTTATCACTGGGGTCAACTATCACATGCAATTGATAGTTAGATTGAAAAATCCTGACTCTCTTGAGCAAGCTATGTCATTTGCTTTAGAAGAAGAAAATTTCTTTCAATTTAAAAATAGTTATAATCTTATGCATAAGCAAACACCTTCTGGGAATAATACAAATTCTCAATTAAATGTGAATAAATCCAAAAGACCAATGCATTATTCTGCTAATGCATACCGTCCGCAAAATGTACCAAATTTTAACAATAATATACCAAGAAATAATAATTCAAATTTTTATAATAACTTTAACCCGAATTATAACCCACAAAGAAACCCAAATTTCAACCAAGTTAGAACAAATGCCGAAAATTCTGTCCAATTTAAACCTTTCTCAAATAACCTCCAAAATTTCAATAATAATTTTAGGTTTCCCCAAAATAATTCTAGCGTATCCTGCAGAACAGTGGAACCAATGGATACAACTTCCATAAATACTGCAGCCAATCGGTCAATACAAAGACGATTCGCTCAAGCGCCCCAACGGAATTTTACTTCACAAGAACTTTTCAACCAATCTGTTGAACCCTTACCAAATAACACCGAAATCGACCCCAATGATCAAATTGATTATTCCCAAATTCAGAATCAATATGCCGAACAGCAATATTACCCTGATTCTGATAACCAAATTTCATTTGAAGAAAATGACTATGACAATAACAATCCCTATAACCAAAATTACGAAAATGCTAGTAACTATGGATACCCAGGTTATGATGAAAATTTTCAAATAGTGACCCCGACCAACAATGAGACGTAATAAATCTAAATAATTATTCTAGTTCCGATTTACCCGTTCTTATATTACCCGAATTAAATGCTGGTAGCGGAAAAAGTTTTATCAAACCCAATCTTGCCTATCAAATATACCCAAATTCAATCGAGTTTGAACCATTTTCAGTGCGTACGGCACATACCACATCAATTCACAATGAGGTAGTAAAAATTCGATGGATTATTAGGAACAAATTTCCTTATACAAATTGGTGCGAAAATTAATCTAAAAAATAAATACTTGAAAACGCCAAACGCAATGTTTCGTTTGTATTTTCAAAGCGAATTGAAACCCGAGAAATCATTACATCATTTTGAAACATTTGAAGCTATTATTCCGCCTCGAACTTGTCAAAAAATAAAAGTACCAGTCAGTGAACAAAATGGTATAGGTATTTTAAGTTATAAAAGACTTTGGTGCCGCTGAAATACCAGAATCTTTAGTAAATATAGTCGACTTATTTGCATTAACGACCATATTAAACCCACGCGAAAACCCTGTGAAGATAAGCATATATAGGCCACTAGATATTGAATTACTTGACGACGCAGAGATTAATTTCTATGAAAATATTGAGGTCAACAATTATAACGTTAATAATAATGACCATTTCGATAATTTGCAAAAACAAAATCTCAAAAATTTAAGATTATGTCATTGCAATACTGAAGAATACAAAGCCATTCGAGACCTTTGTTATCAGAATCGTGATATATTTTTCTGTGAAGGTTCGCCCTTAACTTTTACCAACCAAATTAAACATAAAGTAAATCTCACTGATGAAACTCCTATATTTACCAAAACCTATGGATACCCTGCAGTCCACAAACAAGAAGTTACCACCCAAATAAACCAAATGTTTCAAAACGGCATTATTCAGCATTCTACGTCACCTTGGAGTAGTCTTATATGGATTGTCCCGAAAAAAATAGACACCACTGGAAAAAGAAAACGGAGAATCGTAATCGATTATCAGAAACTTATTGATAAAACGATTGACGATAAATTCGCATTGCCCAATATTTCCGATAAATTAGGCAAGGCGCAATATTTCACCACACTCGATTTGGACAATGGATTTCATCAAATCGAACTTGATCCCCGTGATATTTCCAAAACAGCTTTTTCCACTGACACCGGACATTTTGAATTCAAACGAATGCCCTTCGGTCATAAAAATGCTCCGTCCACCTTCCAGCAAGTCATGAATAACGTTCTCCGAGGCTTACAAAACGAAACTTGTTTAGTTCACCCCGATGACATAATCATTTTCAGCACTTCTCTAACAGAACACATACAACGACTTCGTAACGTCTTTGAGCGCCTCAGACAGTCAAACTTTAAAATCCAGCTAGATAAGTCTGAATTCTTGCACAAAGAAGTTGCATATCTTGGACACAAAATCACTAACGATGAAGTTAAACCCAACCCCGACAAAGTCGAAGCTGTAAGACATTTTCCTATCCCAAAAACACAAAAGGATATAAAATCTTTCTTAGGCTTAGCCGGTTATTATCGCCGATTCATCAAGGATTTTGCCAAAATCACAAAGCCCTTGACCTCCTGCCTAAAAAAAGGTGCAAAAGTTATTCATAGTGAACCTTTCATAAAATCATTCAATCATTTGAAAGAACTTCTTATAAATGCACCTATCCTGAAATACCCTGATTTCGAAAAACCCTTTGTACTTTCCACAGACGCCTCGAATTTCGCCCTGGGAGCCGTCTTGTCACAAGGAAATCCACCTCACGATCAGCCAATCGCTTTTGCGTCTAGAACACTCAATGAAACCGAACAAAGGTATTCCACAATAGAAAAAGAACTTTTGGCTATTGTTTGGGCCAGTAAATATTTCCGACCCTATCTATACGGTCAAAAATTTAAAATATATAGTGACCACAGACCTTTAGTCTGGCTTTTTAACGTGAAAGAGCCAGGATCCAAGCTAATAAGATGGCGCCTCAAGCTTGAGGAATACGATTATGAGATCATTTATAAAAAAGGCAAACAACCAGAATGCAAACGCCGATGCACTTTCTCGTACCTATATCCTCACATGCTAGTGAATCCGAATCTCTCATTAATCTTCCCGGAAACATTGATGAAGATATCAATCAATTTTTAAACGAAAATCTCGATCCACGTTTCGACCCCAATAGCGTCACAGATGAAGCAGTGATAGAAACTTTACGAGAAATCGAAGATATTCCAAAAACTCCTGAAGTTCCTAAAGTGAATATCGTACCGAACGTTCAAATTCGAACACCAGCAAAATTCGAAAGTCGTCCTTCCACAAGTAAAGGCAACTATCAAGCCCAGACCAAAATGAAATTGAATCCCTTTCAACTCAAACAGCACAAAGCACAGACGCTGTAGACAATTACTCAAATATGATTATGCTAGACGAAATAATTAATAATAAATCAATGCAATTTATTATTAAAAAATCTCCTTACGACGCATACATTAAAATAGAACCCGAAAGTTTTGACGGTAATAAAATCATTCATGCAACTTTACCTACCCAAATTCCAGCTATTTTGAAATTTCTAAAAGAATATCTGCAGACAAAGTCAACATACATTTATTTCTTTTCGAAAGATCTTAGAATCTATTTCCAACAATGCATGAAAAATCACTTTAAAAACCTAAAACTAATTGAATGTACGAAGTTAATTAATAACGTGCAACCAGAAGACCGAAACACAAATTTATAAAAGCCAATTATTATTGGAAATCTTTAAAACAAGT